AACTGTTGTCCAACGCGCCAGTTTCTTCGAAACCAGGATGGCAGCATTTCCAAAGATTATTTATGAGCCGATACGCCATCAGAATGACGCGTCCTATGTCAAATCAAGCTGGACCGATGATAGCCTATGTACTGAAATCGTCCTTCGACGAGCGCTGGCCTCCCCCGTTACAGTCTAGGGTCTCCTCGGTATCTCCGGGCAGCTCTGAGTATCGAATGTTTCCTCGGTGATCTTGGTTTTAGCGAGAATGAGAACCATGCAGAACTACTCATGTCGACAATAACACCCACCTGGCACTGTGAGAATGGGACAACGAAATCGGATTCATGATGATGAAGCAGAGTAAGTACAGATACAGCGCGTTACGCAAGACGGAGCGCGACAACTTCATTTTGTCGGGTGCTCTTCTGAAAGTCTTATCCCGACAGTACCCCGAAGGACCGCTCGCGCCCGACTTGTTCGAAAGAAATGTCGTCACAGCGGCGTCACGTCACGATCACTCTTCATTTCTTACTTCACAAACGATTCAGCAACTATCCCCCCGTCAACCCTAGAATCCCAACGACATGTATACTGGTACACCTTCACTTGAATCAGTCTGCGGCAAGGTTTTCGGATGTCAGATAAACATGGCTATTCCGGCTCGGATTCGTGTATAGGGCGACCGTTGAACGTTCATCATAACGTCTGACATACGCCGCACACTGTCTCCAAGCAACGGACATTATCAGTCAGCCACGTCTCCTTGCTCTTCAGCCATACACGGACACGCACAAAGACTCGGCCGAATTGGGACTTTCTGACGCGGTGAACGATTTCCACTTTGGGAACGGCTCTTGTTCAGAGTCGAGCGGCGTCCCCTCCGTTATATATGCCTGGACGATTGGACAGTGGCTCTTGTTCTCAGCTCTCCCTTCGCAAACCCCGTCTGTACACTACGCTCGTTACTTCTTTCGCTTCGATGGCTTTTCCGATAAACGCTGTTTATTCTGTCTTTTCCTTAATCGGCTTCGTGCTCTGTATGCTGCCTTTATCGTGGCATCTGCAAGGTACGCATGATATCATTTCCCCCCGTGGTACTTGAGCTGACTTCCAACAATCATAATGCAGCGTGGAACATCGGGACATGCGCGTTCATGCTCTGGACCGGATTTGGGTGTTTAAACTACTTTATCAACTCTGTCATCTGGAATGGCCGGTTCGACAACGTGGCGCCTGTTTGGTGCGATATCTGTAGGTTTCCGCTTTCTCGGTCGTCCACCAAGCTTACGCTTGATAGCTGTTCATTATATCATGGCTCTCGGAGCCGCCATCCCCGCATGCTCGCTCTGTATTAACAGGCGCCTCTACCATATTGCAACTTCGACTACAGTGAACAAGACCAGAACCGATGTATGTTTTATTGCTGGCTTGTACCTTCTTATGATATTGACAAGAGCGTCTTTAGCGTCGCCGTGAGATATCAATCGACCTATCTCTATGCCTCGGTGTGCCGATTCTCTCAATGGTAGCTGGTACGAAGGTCTTATTACATGCAATGCTTACCAACGAACCGCGGCAGACTACATTGTCCAAGGCAACCGCTTCGACATCTACGAAGACTACGGCTGCAATCCGTCGTCTACGACACCTGGGTCGCGCTCGTCATCTACAACCTGCCCGCCATCGTCATCGGCCTCGTTTCCGCCGTGTACTGCTGTACGTACGCCTCGCCCATCTCTCCGCGCTTCTCCTCTCATGCACGTCTTACTAGTACTCAGCATCCGCGCCTTCAAGCACCGCCGCGCCCAATTCAACTCCCTCCTCTCCGCGCACAGCACCCAGCTCGACTCGAGCCGGTACTTCCGCCTCATGGCCATCGCCGGCGTCGACGTCGCGTTCACCGTGCCCACCGCCTCGCTCGTTTTGTACCTGAACGCCCAGCCCGGCCTGCTCTCGCCCTGGCTCGGCTGGGAGGACACGCACTTTGGGTTCGAGCAGGTGAATGTGTTTCCGGCGGTTCTGTGGCGCGAGAGCGGGGTTGCGGCGACCGCGCTGGAGCTGACGAGGTGGTTCATGCCGTTTACAGCGGTGGTGTTCTTCGCGGTGTTTGGGCTGACGCGGGACGCGCGGGCGAGGTATATGACGCTGTTTGGGGCGGTCAAGACCAAATTGGGCGCCTCGTCATTTCAGTCGTGAGTTCGTTCATTTGTCAAGGGTTAGGACTGTCTAATGATGAAGCGAAGGGAGTCGACTTGTGCAACCAGGGGAACACTGCCGTTGTTCGTGAAACGAGAAAAGCCCCGCCAGATTTCGTTTGACACCATCTCGTCTTCGATGTTTCGTGGGCACTTGAGCAACAAGAGCACCGACTCAACTCACGACTTGACACGGCCCGTGTCTCAAATAACGCTCAACGACGTCGGAGGTGCCCTCGCACCGACTGCGCCACCGCGTGCCTCAGTAGTGGTTTCCGTTCCGCTCCCGATATCACGTTTCTCCTCCACAACAAGCATGGCACTTGACCTGGTATAAACCTACATATTATATTTCCATCTGCTGGCAGATTATTTGGACTATTAAATGCTGTATATCTCACTGTATCCATAGCCTTTCCTTTTTCGATATCTGTCGATTCATATGATACCAAACTTGCGTACATCCATAGATACATTATCATTCCTCAATATTCTGTAGCTCCAACGCTACGCGTCTGAGTCCAAGAGACATCACACACTAGAGTCCTACTCCTTCTTGGGCGGTGTCCAGTCCTTCAGCCATTCAATGACAAATAAGATCATCTCCCCATGTATCTGGCGTATCTCCTCCGGCTCGTCAGCCAGGTGCTTATATCCCCACTCATCGTAGTGGTGAACCGCATCTACATGAACATTAACACGTATTCATGAATTATTTATAGAGGGAAAGCATACTCGGAATGAGCTTGAACGGTTGCAGTATTGTATCTTCGCGATCCTCTGCATCGTCACTGTGGGGTGTAGCTGGCCTCCATGGATCGACTGGCATCACTGTGATCAGACGTTTGCTTGAGCAGGCTTTGAAGCGAACACACCTTCCCCATCGATAATCGCGAGCCTGTCAGCTGCGATATCAAAGTCACCCAGCACGTTCACCGCAGTCACATTTGGCATCGCTGGGACCTTGAAGTAGTCGCCAGGAGGGTACGCCTATATTACGCTTTTGAGAATCTGCGCGAGTCAAGAAGGGGCAAACCTTACCTGCTTACAGAGCTTCGACTCGTAAGCCAGCGTTATGTACTGCGACACAATGGACGGATACGTAGGATCGGGAGGAGCAGTCATGAAGTAGCCCCATTGCGTGCACACTTGGAACATCCAGAGACGCCATTCTTGATCAAGAGAGGTATTCGTGTACTTGCTGTCATCATAAGTACCGAAACACTGTCAACGTAGAAAAGATCAGCCAAAAATGGTTACACGAGGAACATAGACGACTACCTCTTCGATAGTAGAATCTTTGGGACAGGATGATACGACGTTCTACGTAAAACACTGTCAGTCTGCTTCCTGTATCCAAACCATGCGGCGAATACTAACCTCTTTGATCCATTTCGCGTAATTGAGGATTGTAAAGTCGACGGTCAGGCCACCAGGCAACGAAACCATCCGTGCCGGATGCTCGTATTCCAAAGCTTCGATCCCCTCGACAAGTCCAAGCCCGAAGGGAGGCTTGCTGAGGGATTCGCAGAAGTCATCAAATCCAGTGCTTCCAAATGCTGGGTCCCAACACTTTGCTTGCCAGTATCCCAATGGGCTCTGCATAGCGAGGAATCAGACGATTACACTGTGAGCAAGGCACATGGACGAACTTCGAGTATAGACGCGAAGTCGTCGTTGTGTTCGAGTTCGGCTAAGCCGAAGAGGGCTTTGAGCGGATGCGCGAGGCGGCGATTAGAGAGCAGTCTGTCGACGGTGGCGATAGATTTCTGGATATGCCCTGAACACTTGGATTCCGCGGCCTGTCGGATGAGGTCGAAGTATTCCCAGTATACGATTGTTGCATGAGTAACACCTAAAAAAGTGAGTATGGCGATAACGTGAGAACATAATGTACGTACCACTTGAGGAAATGGCTCCGTAGACCAAGTCGGGATAGAGTATCTTCATATGCGCTGCACGCGCTCCCGCGTACGAACCGCCATAGTATATCCACGGCGTGCCTGGAGCTGTTAGGTCCTCGTCGATCCCGGAGAACTTGACGTTGGACATAAAGTTGGCGCTGTCCGCTGCGGCTTGGTCGTTGTTCAGGAAGCTAATTACAACAGTCAGAAAGTTGCATCAGGACGCGACAAGGGATGGTATACCGAAGGGAGTCTGTAGTCAGGTTCTTCACGGCGATGGACTCTCCTTGACGATTGTTAGCCAGAAAGTTACGCAATCCGTGAGAACGCACCATAATACCGGTGCTCAAGAACAACACCAACGCCGCCAGTCGCACGCGCCAGGATTTCGACAATGCCAGTGTCCAAGAACGGGAGTCGGTCCTGACAGGCTATTTCAGTCCGAGGTTTCCAGGTAGATAACGGACGCACCTCCCCACTAGTCTCGCCACCGTCGAGAACAATGACCGGTCCGCCAACGCCAGGCTTGTAATGCCGTGTATTCACCCAGTAGCGCTGCTTGAAGGTCTCCGTTATGCCGTCGTCAAAGTGGTCTAGCGGCTGTTCAAACCATTGCACGGGAAATTCTTCATTTCGGAACCCGTCTTGGGCCTGGTAGTCTTGGAGGCTAATGTCAACCTTGGATTTCGTTGCCTTGTGCTCCAACTGCCAGAGGTTGACGCCTTGCGGACCGAGCGCGCGTATTCTATCGGCAGCAGAGGCAATCCCGGCGCCAGCATTGAATAGGACGACCGCTACGGCGGTCAACGAGACAGGCAGCATGAAAGGCGGAAGTAAGCACTTGACGCGTTCCACGGCTTGTTGAGATCCTAAAAGACCGCGCCAGCCGCAATAAGCTCAATTGACGTTCACCAATTCATCGGATATGGTGTAACGGCTAACATTGCCGCCTCTCATCTACCATAACAGTTGATGCCGCGGCAGCTCGGGGTTCGATTCCCCGTATCCGAATCACACTGGCCATACAACCTGGAACTTTTTTGCCCGTTGGCTCTTTTAGAATTTAGGATATTTTTAGGGTTGCGCAGTATATCCCCCCGCCCGGTTACTAACATCGGCGGGATATACCCCATTTTAGGGGGTGTTATTAACCGTTAATAACCGCCCACGTGATGGTATGTGGCGCATTTTCCCCTCACCCTTCCGTTTTTGGCTTCTCATCCCTCAAAATAAATAAATTCAAGGCTAATTCAAGCCTCCAGTGCATTGTCTACTCAAAGGTACCTTGCTCATGCTACAATATAAGGTGTTCTAGTGTCCCGATGATCCGACGACTACACCATCGCTGATCACATGACTGTCAGGTTAATAACCCCTGTTATTAACCCGGTTATTAACAGTTAATAACCGGTTAAATATCCAACGGCGCGATATTGGGGGTATCCTGCGCGACCCTAGATATTTTAGGATGGCGTATAGGGTGGCGCAGTAAACCTCCTGGGGGCGTTAGTAACGGTATCCCCTAGTTTCGATACCGTTAGTAACGGTTTCGATACCGGCACGTGTTTTGGACACGTGATGTGGCGCAGCGGCTTGCCGCCCCATCCTGCCCTTGTCCCACCAATCTTAGCCTCTCTAACCAGCGCGCCGTCATGTGAAATGATCACGTGTCGGTATCGAAACTGTACTGATGCCTCGGCCGAGGTTTCAATACTGTATCAATACCGTTACTAACCGCAGTAAACCCGAGGTGTATCAAAACCTAGGGTTTACTTCACCACCCTAATGGCGTAGGGTGGTGCATAGGGTAGGGTCGTGGAAATAACCTCGGGGGGTGGTAAATAACCGTTATTTACCTACCCTCCCGGAGGTCCAGGTTATTTACCGGTTAAAAACGGTTATTTACCTGCACGTGACATTTTCACGTGACGTCTCCGCGGGAGCAAGTGCCATGCAGCAGCCGTCAAGTGTTTCCAGTCTTTCCCCTCCGGATGTCACAGTGACTGGGTCCCATCAGAGTCAGATAGATTGCAATGGCAATAGTAAAATTTCCTGCCTCTGAATATAGTGCATACTACCTTTTCCGTGCGCCACACATCACGTGGATATGTCACGTGCAGGTAAATACTGTACTATCGCGACTGCATCTTCACATAACGGGTCACGCGGGTCAATGAATTGAACCTATTTGATTGTCATAACACGTAACAGGCCAGAAAATTGTCGGGAACTAGTGAACAGCCCGGGTCGGCCGGGGGTATTTAATCCTGACCCCGACCCCGACCCGCGACTTTACCCGACCCGCCAGTACGGGTGCGGGTCACCCGCCCATAGACCCACGGTTCACGGGTCACCCGACACCCTCGTAACCCTCGCGCTTTTCGTGCCCGCCGACGACCCCCGAGCAATTGCGCGGGGGCCAGCGACGTGCACGATACGCATTGGCGAGGCCCCGGCTACTTGCGAGAGCAAGAACCGCGGCTCGACCAAGTGCGGAGAGGTGGGGCAGGTGAGGAAATGGTGGCGAGGAGATGGTGGGCGCGAGGAGACGGCGCGCATGAGGAGACGGTGGATGCGAGGCAGGTAATGACCGGCTGCGCAATGGAAGTGAGAAAAGAAAAGGAAAGAAGAAGTAAATACGCACGTTTGATGCTGGACGCGTCCGCGACGCCATCCTGCGCGTATTCTGACTCCTCGCTGCGTCGATACAGCGCCTTCAAGCATGTGCCGCGTCTTTTCGGTGAAACGGCGCCGTCATGAAGACGAGCACCGCATGGAACTGGTGCCGTCGTGCAGACGAGCACCAGCTATCCAAAGGCAGTGGGCTGGCGCAAAGCCAACCCAAAGCCAGAATCCAGAACAGTCCAGGAATGTTGCTGCCTCGCTGCTGAGGGCTTACGCGGCGCGAGTCGTCGTCAAAAAACGCTGTCGCGAAGACGAGCGTCTCAAAACACCCCGGAGCAAATCCAAGGGCGTGGCGGGCGGCGCACAGCCAAACACGCCACCCAAAGCAGAGGATCACAAAGAATAGAGAAGAGAAAAGCCCCAGAAGAAGTTCTGGGGCCGACGAGCACGACGTTCTCGTCGTGCTCTGAGGGGAAGAGCCAAGAGATAAGAGATCAGAGCTGCCCGATCGTTATCCGGCAATTGCCGGAACGCTCGGGCAACTCGGCGATCGCGGAAATTGTTCTGCAACGTCGTTTCTCAACGACGTTGGCCTCGTTTGAGGCCAAATAAATTCTCAAAAAACTTTAAAATATGGACTCTCATGGAAGCAAGTGTTGGGCAAGTACTTGCCTCAAATACTTGCTACAGGAAGCCCATACCAATATCTGACCACGGGTGACTACGGGTCACGCGGGTCACGCCGGGTTCTCCGATCGGCACCCCGACCCGTACCCGTAGGCACCCTCACCCGCCACCCGGTCCGGGTGACCAGACCCGGCTGTTCACTATCGGGAACACACCTTATATGGGAATTTTGCGCGCGGCGGCTAGCGCCGCCACCTCCCGCTGCTCCCGATATGGGCTATGGACCCTGAATGAACTAGTGCCCAGTTGGTTCACAAGCGTAACACATAACACCCTGTGAAGATGCGGTCGTGATAGTACAGTAACCTACCTCCAACAGCCTTAGGTTACAAACTGGTAAATAACCGGTAATTTACCGGGAAACAACCTCTTGGTACTGTAACCTAGGTTGTTTCCACTACCCTAGCATAGGGTGGCACAGTAAACCTCCCAGGGGTGTTAGTAACGGTATCAATACCGACCCCCTGGGAGGCCCTAGTTTTGATACCGTTAGTAACGGTTTCGATACCGACACGTGTTTTGGACACGTAATGTGGCGCAGCGGCTTGCCACCCCCATCCCGCCCTTGTCCCGCCAATTTTAGCCTCTCTAAGCGCCAGCGCGCCGTCACGTGAAATGATCACGTGTCGGTATCGAAACTGTACTGATACCTCGGCTGAGGTTTCAATACCATACTTATCAATACCGTTACTAACCGCAGTAAACCCGAGGTGTATCAAAACCTAGGGTTTACTTCACCACCCTAGTGGTGCAGTAAACCTCCGGGGGTGTTAGTAACGGTATTGATACCGACCCCTAGGGTTGCGCAGGATACTGTAGTATTTCGACCGTAAGTTCACAAAATTTTGAATTTTTTGACCTTCCCACACCCGATAAGTGATCGGAGGCGTTTTCCGGTGTCCGATAAGGAAATTCAGAGGCCTTGTGACCTGTGACGTGAACTTACGGTCGAAATAGGACAGTACCTCCAATATCGCGCCGTTCGATATTTAACCGGTTGATAACGGTTAATAACCAGGTTATTAACACCCCCGCCGAGAGGTAAGTTTTGGGCGGTTATTAACCTATCACATGATACAGTCATGTGAGCAGGCGGGCGCGTCGGGGCGGGATCGGTGAGGAGGAGGGTGATTGTTGGGAAGAGGGGCTGGTAACGAGCTGCCGGACCACATAGATACATCATAAGATCAGTAGAACTCAAGTTATACCATTTTGAAGCTACCAGAGAGGTTTCTGGGGGCCTGGGAAGAAAATTTAGCTTCAGACTGGGAAAATACGCCACATTGTGCATCAGCAAAACTCAAAAAGTATGGGAAGAGTATGGGGAGTATGGGAGTATGGAGCAGATCTCCCATACTCTCCCATACACATTCCACCATACTCTACCATACCGTGGATTTTTTACCATACTGTCTCAGAAAAAAAAATTTACTCCAGTTGCCTTCTTGCACGTCTTGGCAGCCTCTATCAATATGACGACTGACAATGAGTGTAAGAAGTAGGGTTGAGCTTGGCCAGGAGGTAGTCGCGACTCGGTCACCGGTTATGCAACCGGTCCGAGTGCATGGTCCGTGCACGATCACGCAATCAAACACGTGTGGGTTGGTTGCAATAATTTTTCCAAGTCCCTTCGTCTTCTTCCACCACCACTCTCTGCCCACTACGGCGTGTGCGTGCCTGCGACCAGCGAGTCGGACCAGGACCACAAGCACCCGAGCGTGCGAGGACATGCACGATGCGACGACGACTCGGAGTACGCCCACGATGACACCCACAACAACGCCTACCGCGATGACGACTACACCGCTAACAACCACGCCCACCACATCACGATGATGAGTACGCACACGACGACGACCGCGGCCACATGTTGGTTGAATTCTCTTTTTCTACAAGTTCTCTCGCTCCTCTCCTCTGAACGCCTCATACCCACCATGACAACCAACCCCACGATGACCGACTCCTGCCATGACGACCGACTCCAGACACGACGACCGACGACTATATCCACAACGCGGCGCGTGACGCGCCATAGTTTCCCAGAACGGCACACCGCCCGACTACGACCAGGGCTCCTTCATCTCGCACGGCTCACATGTCTACCACCACCCGATGACTACGACCACCCGCACTGCCGCCCACAACTACGACCGAACCCACTATACACGGCCACAATAACTCTGTACACAGTCACGCCTATCCTCCCATGACTGTGCTCCAGACGATCAACCAAACCGAAGGGATGGCTTCTTTGAGTTTGGATAACCGGAGACAGGCATGTTGGATGAGGATATGGATATGGAGTCAATGGTAAGTCATTTAAACCTCACCCGCAATTTACTGTTTTCTGACCTACAGTCTCAGACAGACGCCGACATCTACGCGATGATCAATCTGAGTCTTCAAGACTTTGTCGTTCCGACTACGACTCCCCACCACATCATACTTGCTTTTGCAGCCACCATGAGTACCAAGCACAGTGCCGTGGCCATTTGCCATTTTATGTATAGATTTATGTTGTCTTGTAGATTATGAATGTTGTACTAGTTGTGAATGCATCCTGTTAAGCTTCTCCGTCATGTCCTACATAATGAGCTGTAAATACCGATGAAAACCTGGGAATGGACAGTCTAGGATGGGTATGGGTAATGTATGGGTACTGTATGGGATGAGTATGGTGAGTGTATGGGACGAGTATG